TGAAGAATCCTCTCAGATTTGATCTTCTGAATTTGATTCGAAAATCCTATCTCCAAGGATTTTACTGCTGCTGCTGTTGAATCACCGAACCTGAGTGGTTGAGATCTTGCAAATCCAACCTGCTGCTTCTTCGTACCCAAAAAGCCAGCCCCTCACTCAGTTGAGTTTGTTAAGCTTTTATAGGTGGATAAGGGGTTGTAACTGCCCTCTAAATCCGCTCCTAAGTGGGCGTGATTTCCTCAGATCGTGGGGAAATTCGGCTTGTGTTTGAACAAGTCAAAACGCCCAATCTGGCGTTCAGAACCCAACTTCGTGTCTTAGAATTGAGACGCGATGTTGGGTGTTGGCTGAACATTGATGAACGCGAGGGTCGCTCGCGTTTTGGTTTGTTGTAGCTTAGAAACGCGGGGGTCGGTGTTGGCTGGACTCCTATGAACGCGAGGGTCGCTCACATTTGGTCTGTGGCTTAGAAACGCGGGGGTCGGCGTTGGTTGGACCCCTACGAACGCGAGGGTAACTTAGAAACGCGGGGGTCGCCTGCATTTCCAGAATTGTAACGCGGGGATGACATCTGCGTTTCAGAAGGAGCTTTTTGACTTGTAACTTCTTCTGTGAAGCGTCGCAAGGACCGTTGTTCAGTAATCCTGGCTTTAGCTATAGTGGAGTGTGGAAGTCGTCAGATTATAACCTTCACTGTAGATTATGAAGACTGCTGAATAGAGTTTTCATCAGTTGTCGGAAGTGTCGTTGAATTGTAACTCTTCTCGATCTATGTGAAAAGTCCTCTATTTGCCGCTTCCATTGTTGGAACTTGAGACGGGAATCAACATCCATAGTGTATTTAAATGAATATTTGCCCACAGCTCTCTACCAAGCAACTCACCAACTACGTCCAACCTTTTATTTCTGAAATCATTACACTGCTCATCAGCATCTCTAATAGTTGCTAATATAATATCAGTCATGTTGTTGTCGCAACCATCAAGAACAATCGTCTCAGAAATGAGGCCGTGTTTGTAGCGATTGTGGGATTGCGAAGACAGTGATTAGACAGCCATCTGATTGTGACTTCCATCGTAGGAGCTTGATAGGGATCAGCTATCCATTGTGATTTTTAGACAGCCTACACCGTCACACAACCTGTCCAACTATCCGGCAACTGTGATAGTAACAATAGGGCCTGCACTTCGTTATCAAACGTGATGTTCATGGAGATAAGCTGATCAACAATCATGTTGAACTCGCTGAGATGCATCGTGAAGGACCATCCTTCTGCCATCTTGAGGTTAAAAAGAGTTTTGACTAGATGCACATTGTTTGCTGCCGACGGTTGCTCGTACATCTTCGCGAGCGCTTCCATAAGCCCCACCGTCGTATTCTCCTTCAGAATATTATGGGCTACTGATTTAGCGAGCGACAACCGGATTTACCCTAGAGCCTTCCTATCCAGTATCTCCCAATCACCATCTGACTCCTCCTTCTTCTTTCCCTTTTCCTTGCCCATCAACGGGCGATACAAGTCTTTCTGGTATAGATAGTCCTCCGTCTGTGACTTCCAGTAGACGAAGTCTGAACCGTCAAACTTTTCGATCTTTGATTTTTTCCTCTGTCATGGCTTTCATACAAATTGCTGAACGAAGCTCTGATACCAGTTGTTGGGGATTCGAAACAATCAATCGAACCCTTACTCTTTCGGACCTTGTGTTGAAAGTAGGAGAGTAGGAATAATACCACAAATAAAGATCTAACCTTGCAAAAAAAAAAGTAAAGGAGACGAACACACAGATTTAACGAGGTTCGGTAACGTGCCTACATCCTCGGGAGTCACACCACACAATCTATTTATTAATTGAAGAAGAATTATAAGCTCTCAAACTAGGGTTTAATCTTTCTGAGATTCTCTCTCTTTCTGTAGTCAAAAAGCTCTCTTTTTTTGTGTTGTTACAACCCTAAAAATGTTTAAGGTATATATAGAGTCTTGGGGAAAAGAGAATCCAAAACAGTTTAGGAAACTGTTTGACTGCGTCGCGGTCGACCGCGGCGGTCGACCGCGCAGGTCTCGCGGTCGACCGTGCCAAACGACAGAAGCTCCTCAGATTCACCAAAAAACCCGAGACCAAAAATCCTACAGGGTTTGCGCGGTCGACCACCGCGGTCGACCGCCTTCAGCTTCAGCTCCTCCCAACTCTTGTGCACGTTCGTGGTCGACCGCCGCGGTCGACCGTGGATCTGTCTGGCTGTTTACTTGTCGTTTTGATTTCAGCTCTTGTCTCGACTTTGAGTCTACACCTTAGACTAACAATATGATCTCAAACTCCTCTTAGATAGACCTTGATAGAATAAGAAAAAGATACCGTAACCAAAGTTCTAATAAGAGATCAAATTAATTAACGAACGACTAAGATTAAATCTGAAAATTTGCCAAAACACGTCATAGCCATTAATGGTTTGTCATCATCATCAATGGTCCGTTGATGATAATCGATAGTTGAATGTAGTCCAATGTTTGTGCAAATTTTAATTTTTGGATTTCTCTGATTGTTGAGTGTAGTTTGTCGATAGTCCTTGCATATCGATGGTTGACGATAGACCATTGATGGTCTAATTTCTGGTTTCTATTTTCTCTGATTCTTTCATGTAGTCCATTGATGATTTGCTTGACCATCGATGGTGCCTCTTGACCATCGATGGTTCAAAGATTGGAATTAACATTCATGTTGATTTTTACATTGTTTTGAACTGTAACTTGTTCGTACATGTATATCCCTGAAATATATTATCTCACAAATATATCAATAGTAAATGAGAGTTTGTTATTAATTGAACAAGTGATATTGCACGAACAACGTTCTAATAGGTCTTAATTAATTTGCTTCTCAAATTAGTTGTGATGAGAGTGAGATTAACCGTGAAATCGGATTCAATAAGAAACAAAATACTACAATTTTAACCATATCATATGTTAACTAGCGTCCTTCTTTTTAACTTAATTTAATTCTTAAGAACTTCCTAGATTTTACCATATTGAAAAAAAGAAGAAAGGATTGATAATATAGTATTTTATCTTGATTCCTTGTTAATGTAATAAGAACACATTAGAGAAAGTGGCATGCTTTATTAGTTGCAACCTTTTAGGAAACATAATAGGAAATCATGCCTGAAAACTTGATAGTGAGAAATAGCATGTTCGAAGTGTTTATATTGGTGAGATATATTCTATAACACCCCGCGTCATCGAGATTGGAAATTAGTTTATGTTATCAATTTTCCGATGATAAAATATTAGATAGATTCTTTTATCTATTAGTCAATGGTATTTTTGAGTGTTAGGTAGTTAAATAGATGTTTTTACAAGGTTTTATGTGCTAAAAAGCCTAAATGAGCTTTAAGTTAGAAGCGGTGAAACTGTTAATTAATCCATTAAACAAAAAATCCTTATATAAGACGTAGGTAACCCTAGAGATCAGATTTTTTTTTAGATCTTTGACACTCAGGGCCGACCAAGCAAACGGGAGGACTTTTGCTCTCCGTTCCCTAGCTTTCAGATCATTTTTAGTGGAAATACTTTCAAGAAAGTATCAACTTGCTGTCTATCGCCTTTAATTCTTTTATATGTTTCAGTTTCTGGTATTAAATGTATCTTGATCCATCATGACAATCTATTTTCTTTCTTTTCGATATATGATCATATTCATATTGATATTTTGATGTTAGAACATGCATGTATACGATGTATTTTTTACCCTAGAACTCTAGACATCTATGGAAAACTAATAAACCATGTTTCATATGTTAATATATGTTGGTAATATGTTCCGTAATTTGTTTATGATGAAAATTTTGAATTTTCATGATGTTCGAGGAGTTGTTTTCAAAACTCTAGATCGTAAAAATCTTGTTTTTGCTAAACCATGATCCTTGATATAATTTTTATGCGCAATAGATTCGTGAGTTCATGTTGAAAAGGTATAGGAAAATATCCTTAATAATAGCATGAGAAAGATACATAAAACATTAGGTTAAAAAAAATCTGTGAAATCCACCAAAACCTAGATTTTAGACATCTAGTTTGAAAAATCAGCCGTCTGGTTTAAAATATCATACGTATAGTTCAAAAATTCAGACATCTGAAAACATGTACAACCTATATTTTTATTTTTATGAGTCATTTAACTCTGTAACTTTTTCATATGACTTTCATTGATGTTGAAACTTTGCAAACACTTTTGTTAGTGAGTTCTGAAAACATTCAAATGTTTATTTGGTAATTTTGATCTTTCACTTTCTTATTTACTCAGTTGGACCAAATTTTGATGAAAGGCAATTCTTGAATTGGAATCTTTGGCTCAAACACTAACAGATTTATTGCTAACATGATATTGTTGTTTTAATAATACATGCAATATGCTATGATGATTTCTAAGTTAATGGTTTAGCTTCGGATGATATCAATTGTATCGTTTTGGATTACACATGCAACTTACGAAAATTAGAAGTTTAAATATCAGATGTTTGTCTCAATCAGCATGGTAAGCTTTTAGTTAAACATGTTAAGAAGATATAAAATCGTCTGCTAGTTAAAACCTAACTTTTCCAAACTCTTAGAATTTTTATATTTCTCGCTAAGTATTGAGTGATGATGTATAGAATGTGAGTGTATGGATTTGCAACCTCCACACTGTTGTACTTTGGAATTTCTTAGTCAATAGTTGGTTGTGCAATATAGAATAGATTAGATAATATCTTGTGTAATCACCTAAAAAATACTACCACAAAATATGTATACGGGGACGGTTATTTGGGGACGGTTTAAAACCGTCCCTTTGCCTCCTAAGGAAACGGTCATGAGACGGTTCCAACCGTCACAACATAATCTAAGACAACACTTTAAAATAAAACATTAGGCTTGAATTAGACTTAAAAAAAACCATGTAGTGAGCTAACGAGACAGTTTTATTATGAGCCCAAACTTTAACAAAAAAACAATTCTATTTTTCTTTCGTATAACCCCTCTTCACCCGATAAAAAAGAAAGAAATCAAACACCTCTCCTCAACGATCTCCTCTTTCCTCTGTGACCTCACCTCTTCTCGATGGAGCAAAACCGCAGCCTCCTCTTCACTCACGTTCGCCCGCCGACCTTCTCACCCTCGTTTTCCTCCTTGATGTCTTCACCCTCTTCATCCTCTCCTCCCTCTTCTCCTTCAACCCCGACCCCAATCTCCTACCCCCTCGACGGAACCCTAACCCTAGATTGGATCCGAACCCTAACCTCGACGGAGAAAAACCGCAGCTGAGCCCAAGGACCTTTGCATCCTCAGCTAGGATTTCTTTTGGTAGGTCAAAATTTGTGCCCGATTTCTTGTTTTTTGTGGGATTTTTTGTTGATTTTTGGGGATTTTGTTGGTGCAGTACTCCGGATTATATAACGCCGGAAATGTCGAATGGATTTGAGTTCAATAAGGTGAGATTGGTTGGTTTTGGTGTTGAGATTTTGGTAATTTGAGTGATTGTTTGATAAAAATCTGATCTTTAGGGGAGGTTTTTGCTTGTTTAGGAGAGCAATGCTTGCACTAAATCGCCAGAGAAGTCGGTTAGGAATAAGAGGCACAGAAAGGGTGTGCTCTGTATTGTTGGTGTTGTCTTCTTTTTAGATTTCGTAGAAGTTCTCTTCTAACTCTTCTCCTTCAACCCCGACCCCAATCTCCTACCCCCTCGACGGAACCCTAACCCTAGATTGGATCCGAACCCTAACCTCGACGGAGAAAAACCGCAGCTGAGCCCAAGGACCTTTGCATCCTCAGCTAGGATTTCTTTTGGTAGGTCAAAATTTGTGCCCGATTTCTTGTTTTTTGTGGGATTTTTTGTTGATTTTTGGGGATTTTGTTGGTGCAGTACTCCGGATTATATAACGCCGGAAATGTCGAATGGATTTGAGTTCAATAAGGTGAGATTGGTTGGTTTTGGTGTTGAGATTTTGGTAATTTGAGTGATTGTTTGATAAAAATCTGATCTTTAGGGGAGGTTTTTGCTTGTTTAGGAGAGCAATGCTTGCACTAAATCGCCAGAGAAGTCGGTTAGGAATAAGAGGCACAGAAAGGGTGTGCTCTGTATTGTTGGTGTTGTCTTCTTTTTAGATTTCGTAGAAGTTCTCTTCTAATTGCTAGAATTCATGAATCTTGTTAGTTGATTTAGTTATTGAGATGATAAAAGACTACTTTTTTGTGCTTTGAATTAGCTTCACTGGTGTTGCTTCATTGTAACATTCTTTATTCTTGAGCGAATGACATAAGGTTACAAAAATGCTCTGAGTTTTCTATCCCATATATATGAAGAGTTTTGATCTTACAGTTTGATGCGGCATAATTATGTACCAAATTGCAAGTGCACAATTGATCAAGTTATAGTATAAAAGTTATCGATCCCACGAGGAAGGTGATTTTAAGAGATTATTAGAATAGGTTCTTATGTTGTGTGCGTGACAATTAGGAATAAAGAATAAGTATGATTGTGATGAGTGATTGTTGTGAATATATGCAAGAGACAATAAATTGCATTTTAGAGGAGAGAAGAAAGAATTAAAGAATAAATGAAATCACAAGGCAAGAATGAAGAATGAATAAAATCAAGAAATAAAACCAAGAATGAAAAGAAAATTTAAGAAAGTCAAGATGGAGGATTTAAAAGAGGTAAGAAATCTAGAATATAATCCACTAACCAATTTCAATTACAAAATATAAACTATTCTTTTTTTATCATATTTCAACTTAGATTTATTAAGCATAGATTATCAAACCATTTAAGAAAAGTATAACCTATCAAATTATCATCTAAGTCAAAATTACTATTCATGATAAGAACAACAACATGATAATAATCCTAGAATTCATAAGCATAACCTATCAAACCATTTAAGATAAGCATAGATTATCAAATTCTTCTTCTACCGATTAGTTCTCTAGTTGATTATCCTAAACATGAACATTTTAAATAAAAGAGAATAATTCATACAAAATAAAGAAAATTAGACTAGTTTCATACAATTCTAATACTCCTACAAGAATTAATTTCACATCTTAAGAAATAAAAGCAAGAAGAAAAAGACTAATTATAAAATTAAAAAGAAAAAAAAATCTAAACTATGAACAAGAAATAAATCTAATTATAAAGAAAATAAAAATCTAAACTACAAAATAAATTGCAGAAATTAAATGCAAGAAAAATAAATCTACTCTACAAATTAAAATGCAAAAAGAAATAAAAAAGATAAGAAAATAAATCTACACTACAAGCATGAATTTAAATCTAACTAATAAGCAATAATAAAGAAATTACTAAAAAGAAATAAAAGAGAAAAGAAATACAAACCTTCAAATTGCTCTTCATCTCCATCCTCATCATTCAACAAAGAGGAGAAAGAACAAATTTAAAGTGGAAAAAAATTATTATTATTAATTACAACTAAAGTTATAATTTTTGGAAGGCCTTCTCAATTAAGAGTAGCCCTCCTCTCCAAATAGAGTTACAAAATTTTTCACACCCTTAACCCCTCACTCTCTACCCCTATTTATAATAATCATCAATGGATATGAGCCATTGGATTTGTCTTGAGCCCCAAGCAAAACAATCTCCACATTTGAATTTGTTTTTTGTTCTTCTCTAGCCCAACATAGGAGGCCCATATGAAAAAATAAATGAAAATCCAAGTTGCAAAAGCCAAGTCCTGTCCAATTTGATTTTGAAAATCTGCAGCACCTAAGTCCATTCATGATTCATTTGAGAAAATGAAAATGTAAGCAAGTCCGGCCCAATGGAGATGATCATCCAAATCTGCAGCAAAGAAAACAAGTCCGACCCAATTGATTTTCAAATCCAACTCTCTACAACCAAGTCCGGTCCATTGGGGAAATGACATATGATTTTCAAAATTAAAAACCAATGTCTGCAGCACCGGTTCCAATGGCCAATGATGAAAGTCCGGTCTCCAATCTCTGCAGCAACCGGCCCAATGGAATTAATGGGTGTAATCATCTTTGGGCTTTCAAGCTTCAAATATTTCACTTTAGAAAAAAAAACCGAAAATCCAACAGCAAACAAGTCCGGCGCAATGGCATTTGAATTGATTTTTGACTTTTTAGGCTTAATCTTCATGGCTTGTTTTTGGCTTCATGAGCCTTGATTTTGCTTCAATATAATGAGGTGTTGGAGGTCATTTTCTTCACTTGCTTGATGGGCTTCATTCATTTTGGGCTTCAATCATTTTCCTCTTTTAAGCTTTTGCTTCATGGGCTTCTAAAATGCTACAAAATAGAGAAGAGAGATTTTGAGGGGTTTTTAACATTTAATAATATTTATTTATATTTTCATTCAATTATGTGCAAACTAATCTAACAACAATTATTAATGGTATATTTATTCATGTAAAATAGATAATGAGGGTATAAAATTGTAATAAAAATATGATTATCACAGTCTATGGTTTTGGGTAATTTGGTTAGTTTTTGAATATTAAGTTCTAATGAAACTCAATAATGGGTAGGTTAGCATTGTAAAGTGTTTGGATTTTCAACATCCAAATGCTAATTGTGCAAAAAGCTTATCACTGCTGCATTGAGCTCACTGTTTGTTTGAGTTATCCAAGCGAGCTGCAAAGTCTTTTAAATGCGTTATAGTCATTTCCTTTTTTTATTTCACTTCCCTTTTCAGTTCTTGAAACAATACAAGAACAAGAATTATAGCTCAGCATCTTTAAAACATTTAGGACATAGATTTTATATATAGGATTATATTACTATAAATATCTTTTATCTAAATTATGCTTTTCACTATTTAATCATTGCTTTTATATGTTTTTGTGTAGATGTTAAATATGGAAACCTGGCCGATTGCAACATCCAGAAGGAGTTGACGCTCCACTTCGTCCTCCGTCTCCGCGGTGGCGCCAAGAAGAGGAAGAAGAAGAAGAAGAAGGTAATGCTCCGTTCTCCCCATATTTTTGTTGTTTCCCCCCTCTTACTGAAATCATTATTTTTAATTCTTCTCCGATCGTAGCCTGAAACAACTCCTCACTGTCGTGATCTATTTGCTTGTAATAGAAAATCCTATGTAGTGTTTTTTTGTCCCCCTCTCTCTCCCCCCTAATGAGGCCGCTCACCGGCCTTCTCGTCTCCTTCTTAGTTATCTCTTCCTCCTTTATTCCGATCCATGGCGCCTCAGATTCTAAACAGGAAGAGACGAAGAAGAAGAACACGAAGCTAGTGATGATTTGCTCGGTTATCCCAACTTGTAAGTTTGATTTCTCCTTTTGCCCCTGATTTAGATTTCTTTCTCCGTTCCAAACTTGATGGGATCACAATCTGATGAAGGGGACGCTGATTGAAGTGTTGTCATGATTAAGTTTGGGCCTGAAACCTTGAACCTGTCAATTTAGTTAATTTTGGGGGGTTATGTTTAAGAAATTCCGAGCTGCTTCTTGAAATTTGTCAACATTCACTCTAGTTTCATGTTAGGACAGTCAAAATTGAATCTTTTTTATTTTAGTGCTCTTCTTCATAATATTATTGCAAGTAAAACCCATAATGGGCAAGGCATCTAATTTAAGATTTGTGTGCGTTTGTTCCTATCTGAGGGGTTGATCTTAAGTCTTAACATTAGCATGTGTTTGGGCTAGGACTTAATTAATATGCAAAGAGCTGTCTAGTAAGATGTAACGATTGATAGTTTCATCACATCACTTTCTGATTGCAGAGACGAGGATTCCTTGCTGAACTCCAAATACCCGAGGCATCTGGAATTGAGATGGCAGAGTGAGATTAGCTCAAGCATTTATGCTACTCCCTTGGTTGCTAACATTAATAGGTAAAAAGATTTGTTTTACTCTATACATGTGATTCATTGTTTGAGGTTATATGCTGATGTGCATCGTTTTATTTGCAATAGTTAAATAGAGTATATCAGGTTTGTGCTGTATAGGGGATGGGGTTCTTAGGAGTAGGAAACAGAAGCAACAATTTTCATTTAATTTTTATAAGCATGGGAAAAACCTGAAACTTGAAAGAGAGTCTTAAAACTGGAAAATTGTTGATATTGTTTGTTGCGTGCTGTAAAATTGTCGATATTGTTGGACTGGATGAACAATTTGTATTGCAGAGAAATGAGATTGGTTTTTGTTGGTAGTGTGAAGTGTCTCACTGTTGCCAACCCTTAATTTTGATGTGCAGGGCTTCGGATTTTCCACGGGAATATGATGGTGCTTGTCTTCAGATGTGTGTATCATATACCCAGCTGCCCAAATCGTTCTTTTTCTGGTCCAGTGGACAGACTGTAGATTTGCGGGGGCTCTTGGTTTGATGAGGATCTTAATGTATAAGGTTGATATCTTCCTAACCTGAGGATTTGTCCTCTTTTGTATTGAGCACCAGATTCCTAATGTATTGCAGGCCGAGAACTTTTTATTTGCAGGTTTATGTCGACGAAAGAACGACTACGTCAATATATGAAAGAAAAGCAAGTATCAAGGAGTTTTATGGTAAATTACTTGGCTTGCATTCATCTAAGAACTTAATTTAATTTTTAAATTCTTAAATTCACATTATTGATTATAATGTTAATGTCAGCTATAATTTTTCCCTCTCTGATGCAACTGCACAAGGGGA